TGCCCGGAATCCGGGTCCGCAATAAGGCTCTTCAGCTTGCATCTTCGACACGGACATCTTATCTCCGTCTCGTTCTTTTGAAGCATCTCGGTCTTCGCGGACCTCAAAAACCTATTCACGATGCCTTCGGTCATCGTGCGGACCATGGTCGCCTGCGGGGTAGAGCAAAACGATATTTTAGAACCAAACAAAAATTTGGCATGACCTTCCCTAAAAATAGGACCAAAAAGAATGCTTAATGCCAAAATTCTCGCCGAAACAGAAATGAATCAACATTCCGGCAAAATATTGGCAACTATCGCATATCAAATACCGGTACACCTCCAAACACAAACACATATGCAACACCACAAACATATGCAACACCACGAACATACATAGATCTAGCTAGGCCGTAAAAAGTGCATGTGCACATTGTTGTAAGGAGAACAACCTAAATATAGCTTCCCCCCTTACTTACCTATTAAAACAAGGTAATTTAACCACTTAATTTGAATGAATCTATGGTGGAAATGAGGTGAAAAAGAGGAGGCACCCGAGACAAGGAGGAGGTGGAGAGAATGAAGTGGGGAGAAAGTGAGTGTGTGGGTAGGAGAGGCTGTCCCAAATATCTTGTTGCTGCCCACTTACTAATGGCGCACCTCTTGCATGGTGCGCCATTAGTACTTACAACTACTAATGGCGCACTTGGGCAGGATGCGCCATTAGTATGTTTGGATAGGCGCACTAGTTCAAAAAAAATCCTATACTAATGGCGCACCCACTGCCTGGTGCGCCATTAGTAGTTACAACTACTAATGGCGCACTTGGGCAGGATGCGCCATTAGTATGTTTGGATAGGCGCACTAGTTCAAAAAAAAATTCTATACTAATGGCGCACCTGCTGCCTAGTGCGCCATTAGTAGTTACAACTACTAATGGCGCACTTTGCCGGGATGCGCCATTAGTATGTTTGGACAGGCGCACTAGTTAAAAAAAATTGATACTAATGGCGCACTCGTAGCATGGTGCGCCATTAGTTGTTTAAACTCTAATGGCGCATCAGATTGTGGTGCGCCATTAGTATATACTAATGGCGCACCATCTTTCTGGTGCGCCATTAGTGTCAATCCCATCTATAGCCATTTTCCTAGTAGTGTGATAGCTTAGCAAATTTTGCTCGCTCTGAGGGTAGAACCATGACTTGGTTAGGATCGGGTCCCTCTATTGCGGTTGAGCTGGCTCTTGCTGATTGTAACTTTGATGGTTGAGTAATACAAATTTTCATTCGCAAAAAAAAAACTCTGGAGCATTGCAGATCGGGTTTAGTGATGTCCGATTTATTTCCTTTTGCAAAAAGGCATACTATTCTAAGGGTAATGTTTAAAATCTGAAATCAAATTTTTAACCGTTGCAAAACATTTTTATGGAAAAATTATATTGACGTGAGGATGACAATTTTCTTTACCGAGCATGGCAAATCATTTCATTAGAAGTACAAAGCACTTAAAACATAATTAAAAATTACAATGAGGACCCCAGACCGCCGAACGATCATTGTCGCTGTCAAAACTGAAGCGCCGCTGTCGCCGCTCCCGTACTTGAGTTGTCATGGCCTTGTCGATAACAACCGGAAGTCTTCATGCATGTGCCTCTAAGAATGAACACCACGGAGCCGCAGTCGTCACCGATGAACATCAATCTGAAGTGTGTGACACCGAATCTCGCCATCATGCACGTTCAACAAGAAACCCTAGCCTCGCCGCACCAAGGAGAAGACAGGAACCTATGTCGGACGTCCGTCGAGTCCAGCCCGATGGACTAATTTGAGGAGGATCGAAACTCAAAAGACCAGCTGAAGATGGAGCATCGCCCGACCCTGCAAGGACTAAAAACTCTAACCTGAACTACTAGTCGGATCCAAGGCGCTGGGATTCCTTCCCAGCCACTAGCTACCGAAGTGATAGTCATAGGGGAGAGGAAGCCACAAGCTGGCCGATGGAGCTTGGAGGGGAGGAGAACTTTCCAATGGCATAAGCGTGAGATCTCATAATTGTAAACTCCTCTGAATGCAAAAGCTGCTCCGATGTCCGGCTCCCGCAGCAACTTCGTGCCCGCAAAAGCTGTTGTTGCCGGTCCTCTGGTATCGACGAAAGCTGCTACTTCGGCGCCCGTGGCAGCTGCTGCTCCAGTGAGGAAGGGGGAGCACTAAGAGCAGCAAGGCCAGGCCATGGTACGTTGGCCGAAGAGAAGAGAGGAGGAGGAGGGGCCTGATTGCTTTTTAAGTTTTTGAAGGTGTCGGTGTAAAATCCCCGATCTAACGGCGTCGCCTGTAAACCGTTATGCCACGTCGGCAAAAGTGGGACCCACCTATCATAATAGTCATCAAAAGTCCAAAGCTGCCAACTAGTGTTTTTTGTAAAAAAAAAATATAGCCTTTAAATTAATGATTTTTGACACAATTCCATAGAACTGTGGTTTCTGCAACCCTAGCGTTCAATGTTGATGATTTTTTGCAATTTACCCAATATTACGGCTTAGGGCAACCATTGTACTGGTGGCATGCCCATTGTAGAGATGAACCGGTACTTACAAACAGCTCTAGTGTATTAAGCTCTGTAAAATACCGCAGCTGCAAATCAGAGTCGAACAACAGACTGGCAATACGGACACACGGGATATCCACGTTGTAAATAAAGAGCAATAGTTTCGCACTTTATTCAACTGGTCTATCTGGTAGATCACATGCTCAAAAAAACCAAGTTATAATATCATGGAGATTGAGGAAAATAAACAACACCGCAATTCATGAGTCTTAGGGTAGCAATATCTTTCAAACAAGCATGTTTTTTTCTTTTTTGCGAGGGTAAAACTGAGTTATTCCATAGCAACAGAATTACAGTCAGCTAATACAGGATCATGAATAAGAGGAGCTCGTTGTAACCAACAAGGGGTACTACGTCATACGAGCATTTAGCTAGACAATGTGATACCCTATTTTGAGAACGAGTTATCTTAACCGGAATAAACTCCCGCTCTAGAAGGAGCGACTTGATTTCATCGACCAGATGGCCATTAGGCGACTTGGCCAGGGAAGCATTAGACAAAGATGAAAGAGCTACCATAGAGTCTGACTGCGCCATGACCGGAAGATTAGACCATTGGAGGACTAGAGACATCCCTTCCCGGATTGCCTGTATCTCAGCTTCAAGTGCATCATTGCAGAAGAACAGCAAACGGCATGCAGCAAGAATAACTTCACCTGTACACTTCCTGATGACCATGCCTGCACCGGCTGTACTGTCATCCGGCGAGAAAGAGCCATTCGCTGACAGGGCCAGCCAACCGGAAGGTGGCGGTACCCAAGGTGGATCAGGTGGACGCGGTCGGACAACAGTCGCCGGAAGGGAATCAGCGACGGAATATTTGCCTTCAATTATTTGTTCAGTACTCAGATGCTTCACGTCTCGTATTGGATTGAGGTAGTCCATAGCATCCAGGTGCTCCTTTGGGGGTATTGGCCAAATCTCCCCCATAGCATCCCACAACTTTGAAGCATTCTCACATGCTACAAGTGGACACGTAAGTGTCCTCGTCAGCTATGCCACACAGTGGACATGTAGCCCGGCACTGCAGGTGACGAGCCCGTTTGCATTGCACGGTAGCTAGCGCACCAGCTGCAGCCTTCCAGGCATTCAACCTCATCCTGTGCGGAACATCTGCATGCCAAATTAAATTCCAGATTTTCCTCTCGCCATTAGGACTTCCGCTCGACGCACCTTCTGTAAAAGCTTCCTCATGATGTACCATCACTAGCTTGTCCGCACTACGGACACTGAACAGCCCTTTGGGATCTGGTTGCCATGTGAGGAAGTCCTGCTGCTGCCGTGGTGAGGTACGGATTTTACGAATGGCCACAACATCAGCAGGAAGAAAGTGTTGCTGCAATAAATCCAGTCTCCAAACACCATGAATATCCAAGAAGTCTGATACTCTTATCGAGTCTGCAATGACGTTTTGGCATAACTGGACGAAATGATGGACCCCTTGGAATCCATGGGTCCCACCAAGACCGAATCAAAATTCCATTACCAACACGCCAAGTGATACCTTTTTTCAATAACTCCAGCCCGTGTTCAATGCCACGCCAATCCGCGGATGCATTGACTGAAAAAACTGTATCCCCAAGATTTCCATTACGGTAATACCTAGCTCGCAACAGCCTTGCACAAAGGCTATCCGGTTGATCAATAAGTCTCCAGGCCTGTGTAGCCAGCAATGCTTGATTGAATGCTCTCATATCTCTAAAATCAAGACCACCCTTTTGTTTTGGTAAGACAAGCTTGTCGCAAGAAACCCAAGCCATTTTCCTTCTTTCATTCTCAACTCCCCACCAATATTGCCGCATCATTCTTGTGAGGTTGTCACACACAGAATACAGAAGTTCGAAAACACTCATAACATACGTAAGTGGGAATAGCCTGGGCCGCAGATTTAATCAATATTTCCTTACTAGATGAGGCCATATAGCGTTCACTCCAATCCACTAACCGCTTACTTAGCCTAGACTGAAAAGTCTGGAACTTCCCTTTATGCATTCTACCCTCTGGTACAGGTAGTCCAAGATGCTTGGGATCAAACACCTCCTGAGTGACTTGCAAAATACTCTTCACCTCCTGGGAGACTGGCAGAGAACAATTGTCAGAAAATAGGACAAACAAGCATGCTGCAGAATTCAACACGGGGCGGGCATCCATGGAGTAATCTGGCATCCATACTATACTACAGAGTACAGACATTGTAATTTTGCAGCTCTAACAACACACAAACAGACTGGTAGGTAATAAAACAATACTTGACACTATCTACATGTATAGCAGATGGAGATAGGTAATGAACAATACAGACAAGCATGAAACAATCCGGGGAAAGCTAAGGATATGAACGGCAGATGAGTAGCAATACAGACACACAGGATTCTCACCATGTATAAAACAACACGGAGATAATAACTTCTCAGGTCATTCAGCTGGTTGTACTTCTTGAGGTCGAGAGGTAGATGCCCCAGCAGCAGCAGCTTCATGAGGCCTCCGACGTCTCAAGGGTGGTGGGTCCTTGCTCGCAGGTACCTGGTAGATCACATATTCACATATAGTTAAAATATATCTCCAAACCTGGCGTCATTGAAGAACAATAACACTAGAATACCACGACGAGACGATAGACGGAATATCACAATGAACGAATAGCAAAAGAACTTCCATCAATAAGAAAATAAGCAATAAAGATGAAATGCAGAGTGGAAATTGTCTTCATAACAGCATCATTTCTCAAACAATGGATTCCCAGTGGCGGTGCTAACCTGGGAAGTCAATGGAGTGACCCTGGCATTTCCTCCACTTGAAAGTTCCGTCCTCTGCAACCTCTCCGGTAAGGTCTCCATCCCCATGTGCGACAACAGGAGACAGATATACGTGAGCAGCTCCCCACCAGTGCCCAAACTCTTGGCATGTAGGTACCCTCGACACCTACTAGCCGAGAAGCAGAGCATCTCCACCCACACGCCTTCGATTACCTCCCACATCTTGTCATCACACATTTGCAGCAGCCCATTGGCAAGATTCCATGCATCATGGACAAAACCTTCTTGTGTAGTTGCATCTGTCTCCGCATCCAGTGGCAAGTCCGTATGTTCAACAACTTGTTCTCTGTTTTCCCTGGGCTGTACCTTCGCGATTATTCTCTGTGTAAATCCTCTTTCGATTTCCTTGAGCGATGGCCTTTTGACTGTGAAGAAGTTGCAGAATGGTTTATTGCACTTGAGGATCTCCATGAGTGAAGGCTTGCCGCCCTTGACAATTTTCTTGAGCGATGGATTGTCATCCTTGAGGATCTTCTTTAGCTCAGAATTGGCAGCTGTGAACAGATTTCGCCTAGTGCCTGGTAGTAGCATCTCGGGATTGACAAACAGTAGGTACATCATGTAGTTGGAGATTTCTCTGCACTGGACGGCTCTTTTGTGATGAGGAGATCTTTCACACCAAACAGCACACCGATGATCCTCACCGGAAGCATCTTGAATACACTGAGCAGTGGCACATTGGTGATCTGCTGATGCGCCCATGTAGTAGAAGCAGAAATCCGTTGCGATGTGCCAGAGAAGAACACTCTCATCGAATGGCTTCCTTAAGCTGCAACTGAGATCTTCGTCGCAGTTGTTGGACTGAAGAGTCCATTGCCCCCTGCGATCGTTGAACTTCCAGTAGCTGTCAGTATCTTTTATTTGATCTTCCCACCCCTTCTTCACATACTTAAGAACCAAATCTAGAATTGCAAAGGATAACTTGCAGGGCTTCATGGACCAATTTTGGTCAAGAAAGTCTTTGCAGTTAAAGAAATTAAGGATGCACATCTTCCTGGAGTGCCTTCTGTTACGAGCAAAGAATCCTACCAGATTAAATTGGCCTATGAGGCTATCTTTGACTTTGAGTATGGCATTGAGAAATACCTTTAGAAAAGTAAATTTCTCAAAGGCAAAGGAAGCACAGGAACAGTACTCTAGCACTGCAGTACAGCAGAACAAGGCATATGTAACCTTGACATCATTATCATCATAAGCTTCTCTGTGACTCTTGTGGAATAGGCCTATGGCTGCCCATGGCAATAAACTAGCCGATAACCGTATGTACAGAGAAAGAAGTTCCAACCCGCTCGGGTCTTCCTCTTCTTTAAAACTGCCGAGTATCTTTGATTTTGTGTAGAGAATATTGAAAATGCTGAACAATCTATTCTGCAATAAAATGTATGCTTGTTTTCCATCAAGCACCCAAAAGGATTTTAGGATCACAAGCCGATCAGGATACGGCGATGCAAGGTCCACAAATATCCTGTAGGTCTCAGGGTCCCCATTATAGTCATTATCTCGCCTTCTCAATCTTGGCTCTCTTTGGTTTAGGTGGCTTCTCCTTTTCTCCATTATTTGGTTTACGTGGCATCCCATTTTTTCCTTTATTTGGTTTAGGCGACCTATCCATGTCCTTGAGGTCTGAGGATGATGATCGGGCTCAAGATCCAGCGTGGCAGCCACTCCCTGTGTTTGAGATCCATGGTTGGCCTCAAGGTCCAGCACAATATCTTCTCCTTGTGATTGAGAAAGATAATTGTCAGCCCCATGGTCCACCGCATCACCTTCTTGTGCTTGGAAACCAGGGTCGGTCTGGGCAAAAGCCCTTGCCTTTTGCACGTAGTCTTCAAGCGAATTGATCTCGCCTTCTCTGGTGGCAGTTCTGCTCGGAGCATGAGCGGAAGAGCTTACTAGGCTGTTAATGCTAGCACTCTTGAGAGCCCAGGGCTTCTCAATGCATTTGAGAATCCCAGGGACGAAGAACAAGATTGATGCCTGCAACAACCTCTTGTCGCCTCCTGGCCACGATTTGCAGAACATATAGATAGCTACAGTGACCTGGGACACAGCTGTGAGGATGTGCCGCGTCCACAGCTCATTGTCTTCGATATTGTAGGCGGTTATGAGGTCCTGCCCTCCGAGGTGCATCAGGAGAACGGGTGCCCACACCACCTCCAGGATGCTACTGTTGTTTGCAGAAGTAGCACCACCATGATCCTGACTCCTCTGGCGGTTAAAGAGGGTGGCCAGGGCGTATATGGCTACAGCATCGCTGCCTTGGTATGCGAGCCATATGATGGATCTGTACCAGGAAGGAATAGCAAACTTACGCAAGGGAGAAGAGCAGAGCAGGAGGTACTGGAAGAAGAGGCTGCTGAGGACGAGGATGCGCAGATGCCACTGCTCCCACCATTCCACAGCACCTGATATAACCATGACTGACGACTGTGTCTGGCTCTCCCTCGCTCGCTCACAAGCACAAAGTGAGAGGCCGCCGATTCATTTCGCACGTTGATCCAGTGTGTATATATGCACATGGTTAGCAGTAACCACTCCAGCATTGTCTCCTTATTGCCTACTGACTTTTCATATGTTAATCCGGTGTAGATGACCTGCATTGTTATAATCAAGCCGGTTCAAAGCAAACATCGTTTTGGCTGGATCAAACCAGCTTAATCGAGCTGAAAAAGATGCATATTTCAATTCGTTTTCAGAAAGGTGGAGCAATACTATGACATTGTTAATATATACTAGCAGTAGCAGGTGGATGAACTCGAATCGACGAACCTGGTAGGGAGGAAGATCCCCTAATCAAACTGCCGTCCCTCTCTTGGTTGCCGCACGCCGTTTCCTTGGCCCGTCCCCCGCTGCCGCGGTCTGCTACTCCAGCCGCCGCTGCCTCTTATTGCTCCGCCCTTCGCGCCGGCGCCGCCGCCGCTCCGCACCATCCGGCCTTCCTTCTCCGCCGATCTGGAGAGAGAGGGGTCCCGACTCTGTGACTGCCGCTCCTCCCATCCGCTTGCTACCTTCGGTGGGGGTCGACGGAGCCGGTGTCCGGCGGCTGGCGGCCTCACCGGTCCACAGCAGTGATTTAGGGCATCTTTCTTAAAAAAACTGATTTGGGTAGGACAAGACGGAAAAGGAGGCCGTCGGAGAGAGAAAAATTAGTAATTTTAGTTTAAAAAAAATTCTTATTAGGAAAATAAATCATTTTCCTTTGCGGTAGGAAAAACAAACGGAAACACTAACGCACACACGTGTGGGCGTCTGGCAACTCGCCCACACGCATGGATCCTCATCCAACCAATTCTACACGAATCTTGACGCGTTTTAGCAGTTTTTGTGTGCCACGTTACGTAAGACTAAGCTGGTGTGTGGGTATTCATCCGGTCGTCCACATGTCTTTTTTTACCACACGGGGGGCTAGTGTGTGGGCGTTTAGCAATTCGCCCACACACCAGTTTTCACGCACGCAAAGGGGGCTGGTGTGTGGGCGTTTATCACTTCGCCCACACGCCCGTCTCCTCGCCCACACCCTAAGCTGCCAGTTGCCATGTGTTTCTGCAGGGTACATGGCAACTGCCCTAGCTTTGCTTGTAAGCAGATGTCAACTTTCTTTTACCCGAGTTGCCATGTATTTTTTGCATGGTACATGGCAACTGACCTAGCATGCACGTAAGCAGATGACAACTCTTTCTTTTACATGGCAACTGCCCTAGCGTGCTTGTGAACACATGGCAACTCTCTCTTTTACCCGAACATGTTTTTTTGCCATGCCTTTTTGTAGTGCTACATGGCAACTGCCTAGTGTTAGTGGGTGGTAACTCCTAAAGTTTTGAAATCATAGCAACTGCAGTAGACCAGACCATACATGGCAACTGCAGTTGAGCAACCATGGCAACTGTAGTTGTCCGACATGGCAACAGAAGTTCAGCGACATGGCAACTGCAGTTAAACGACACATGGACGAGGGTCTGAAACATGGCAACTGCGAGACGCGCGGTGACTGGCACGCGGGGCGTGCCGGACCACGAGGTAGGAGGCCTGACGTACGGGGCGTGTGGGCGTTATCTATTTCGCCCACACGCACGCGTGTGAGAGGGATCGGGAGGAAGAAAATAAAATGTGTGGGCATTACTTGTTTTGCCCACACATAGGTGTGTGGGCTGTTCCTCTTATACACCACACAAAATATGTGGGCAGACCCCTTAACGCCCACACGTGTGGCACTTATCAGCGTCCAAAATAAATCCTTTTTTATTGCAATCGCCGAAAAATAAACCCTAGAGTGCAATTCATAGAAACATAAAATTATCGAAAACTTTTCTGTTCAACCGACTAGTCTTCTGGCGCGCGTCGACCGCCTCCTTGTCTCTTGGATCTTCTTTTGATCAAAGGACCCCTAACAATTCTATTCATAGGTTAGCTTTTCTTTAACTCAAACCATGTTGAGCAACTAAAGGTTTTGTTGTGCGGCGACGGCGACGAAAAAACAGAGGTCCCCGTCTGCGTGAAGCGTCGCACCTCCATCTTCCTCACCAGATCTGGCAACCTACGGCATGGCTCCCGTCAGCACCTTCTCATCACCACCACAACCTCGCCTCTGTCTCCTTCCTATCCTTCCATCCATGGCACTATCGACAACCCGACGAGGAGCTCAAGGGTTCTAGCGCGCCCTGCCATCCTCCTCCAGGCGGGAGGAAGCTTTCGATCATGGCCGACAATGCCCCGCACCCAACATCGTGCTCTCGTACTCCTGTGCTCCCCATATCTATCCAGACGGGATCAATCCACCAACGATAGGGGCTCTTGTTGCAATGGTGCCGCCGTGTTTGCAGGCCGTGCGGATATGCTTTTTTTTGCCATAAGGGTCATGTTGCGAAGGTGTCTGCAATAGCACCTATGTCACAGAGATCGAAGAAAAAGACAGGTTCGGGAAAAGAAAATAGTTCGATATTTTTGCAACAAGGCTTCCGTTGCATAGATCAGAGAAAAAAAGAGGAAGATTGCAACAAGGTCATTGTTTCAGAAAGACGAGCACAACACTGAGCTTGTTGCAAGATGTGACGGTTATGTGTGCATCCATCCTACGGTTTGGGAGGTTGATCTTTCAAGGGCATAAACCGGTCGATGTGTAACACGACCCTCAATATTATTTGTATGGGCTCAATTCAAGATATCAAGAATAAGATAAACGTCCTATGGTTGCAATTTGATATCAGTGGCATTTGGTTGGCTTTGCCAAGGAGCTTATGAGTTTTTGTCTTTGTCGGTCTTTTGATGATGAGTAGGTTTTTGTTGATGTCCTATGGCGTTGCTTTGTGGGTATCATCTTCAATGGGCCCTTCTTTCCAAGCCTCCATGGACAAGGTCGTCGGCAGGTGTGGCAATGTTCGCATGGCCGTGTGCCTAGGTCGAAGTGGTTTCCCCATCGATGTGCATACTGGGATTGCCAATCTCTATCACACATGGCGGATGTTCTGATGTTGTCCATCGCCAGCTAGAGCTAGGGTGACGCAACGATGATAAGTTCAACCATAGCTTTCGTGAGGGTTTTTAGTCCAGCGTCTTGGTTGGAATTTCTCCTTTGTAAGTATCTTTCATGTGTCTGTGGGTTCAGTATATGCTCATTATCTAGTTATAACCAATGTACTATGTATCCGGTAGATGCCATATTTACTGAAAACATTGAACACAATTATAAGTAAGTATTTTCAATATAAATTGGGTTTATATTATGTAGACATATATTAGCAAATTAATTGTCAAGAGTGGCCGTGTTTCCAATAGTGGTGAGCGGGTGGTCGATCGGGCTGCCCGTCGTGCGGCTGCTCGGGATCTGCCCCCTTCAGGTTCGTCCCCTCCTCCCTCTCCCCCCCCCCCACGATTTCCTCTCCTGTTCGTTTAGTTCTCCCTTCTCAATCTGATGATCACTTGCTAGATATTTTAAACGACGTGGGTATCTGTTTTGACTCTAGTTTGGGTTCTCCTTCATCTCTTCTTGGTATTATTAGGGCGAATGAAATCGCCCAGGCGGATATTGCGAAAGCCAAGGAGGCTAGGGTGGGCTTGGGTGCCCCACTGGTTGTGGCCGGTGGGGATGTGAGGGGAGATGACAGGAGTCATGCTCCCTCGATGGCTCCTAAACGCGGGGTAGGTAAGCGCTCAAAATCCTGCATGGCCCCGAGCAGGTCGAGCCTCCGTATCAAAAACTTGTCATATAAATGAAGGCATTATTCTGGAACATTAGAGGTTTCTGTGCTAGGGGGCGCAGAGACCAACTTAAGGACTTAGTTCGATCTGAGAATGTAGATTTTATTGGCCTGGTTGAGACCTTCAAACCTTCCTTTTCCGCTAGCGAATTATCGGCAATTGCTGGGATAGATAGATTTCATTGGAATTTGTGGCCTCGGCTGGGCATTCGAGTGGATTTTTGCTTGGCTCCAAAAAAGATACTTTCGATTTTGTGGCTTTTGATCATGGCATCTTCTGGGCTAGCACGGTGGTCTCTATTCGTTCTCTCAACTCCTTGGTGGAAATTTTGGTGGCTTATGGTCCGGCTGATCATTCGATGTCTTATGCCTTTTTTGGATGAACTTAGTATTAAGATTGAATCTTGCCAGCTGCCCCTGTTGATTGGGGGTGATTTTAATTTGCTTAGGTTTCCCTCCGACAAGAGTTCACCTAACTTCTCGTGGCCCTTGGCTGATGCTTTCAATGCTTTCATTAGGGACACGACTATTCGTGAGATCCCTAGGGTCGGAGCCCGG